TTAAGTTGGCGGTTCATTCTGCTGTGGCGACCCTGGATTAATAAAGGGACTAAACTGAAAAGAGAATGAATTTTTTTTATGATGATGGGACAGTAGAGATTTTCGACAGAAAAGCATTGGGAGCAGAGAAAGAGGAAGGATCGGCAAAGGACCTCAAGATGGTCGCCGTGAGCATATGTCAGCACACAGTAACACTAGGCTATTGGCGCCGACAGACTGGATTTTTAAAATCTTTTATCACAGTCATGTGCATTGTGCAGCATATGATTTTAAGTTGTTCTCCCCTATTTAACACGTCCAACCTTGAGGCGGATGGGCTACAGCAGCAGAAGAGCACACCGGGTGCCGCTCCTGTCAGCTAAGAACAGGAAACTGAGGCTACAATTCACACAGACTCACCAAAACTGGACAATAGAAGATTGGAGAAGCGTTGCCTGCTCTGATGAGTCTCCATTTCTGCTGACACATTTGGATAGTTGGGTCAGAATTTGGCCTCAACAACATGAAAGCATGGATCCATCCTGCCTTGTATCAACAGTTCAGGCTGGTGGTGGTGGTGTAATGGTGTGGGGGAGATTTTCTTGGCACACTTTGGGTCCATTAGTACCAACTAAGCATGGTGTCAACGCCACAGCCGACCTGAGTATTGCTGCTGACCATGTCCATCCCTTTATGAGCACAGTGTCTCCATCTTCTGATGGCTACTTCCAGCAGGATAACGCAGCATGTCATAAAGCTCAATCATCTCAGACTGGTTTCTTGAACATGAAAATGAGTTCACTGTACTCAAATGGCCTCCACAGTCACCAGATCTCAATCCAATAGAGCAGCTTTGGGATGTGGTGGAACTGGAGATTGGCATCATGGATGTGCAGCCGACAAATCTGCAGCAACTGTGTGATGCTATCATGTCAATATGGAGCAAAGTCTCTGAGGAATATTTCCAGTGCCTTGTTGAATCTCTGCCATGAAGTATTAAAGCAGTTCTGAAGGCAAAACGGGTCCAACCCGGTACTAGTAAGGTGTACCTAATAAAGTGGCCGGTGATTGCATCATTTTATCAGAAAAACACATTACCGAACACCTTCCAGTCGATGTTTTACTCTTTTCCTTTTCATCTTTAAACCGTCGTTTCATTCAGTTCCAACTTGTCTAAAGCAGTTAGACAGAAGCAGCAGTGTTTTTCAGCGTGCGTCTCTTTAAAAGAAGAAGAGCAGTAATAGAAGACGAGCTGAAAGAAAGGGAAGTCAGATTTACAGGCAGCAGAGGTCAAGGGCCACGAAGCTGGAAGCCTACAAAGAGTGTGGCTTTCTTTCACACGTCTGCTGCATTCCTGCACACCAGACCATCTTTTCACTCCACTGGCCATGCTTTGGCCTTGCTGAACTATGTGTGTGTGTTTGTTTGTGTATGTGTGTGTGTGTGTGTTTGTGTTGGGTGAGTGGATCTGTGGGGTGTAGGGGTTCAAAACAACCACTTTAATGCATGTATTGAGTGTGTGTATATGTGACATACGTGCCTGTACAGTATGTGCGTGAATGCATCTTTGTGTGTGTGTGTGTGAGTATGGGTTATGTGTATTTGTGCATATTTCTGTGTTTGTGAGTATCTTTGTGCATGTGTCTGTGTGTGATAGTGAGTGTGTGTGTGTGTCTATATTTGGGCACACCTTTGTACATGCGTCAGCACATCTTTGTGAGTGTGTGAGTATGAGAGTGTGTGTATGACAACATTTGAGTGTGTGTATTTTTGTGTGTATGTCTACATCATTGCACGTGTCTTTGTGTGTGTTATGCACCTCTTTGTGCGTGTCTGTGCATGAGTGTGTGTATTAGTGTTCATATTTATGCTGCGTATGTTCGTAAGTGTCTGTGGTGTGTTAATATTTTTGCATGTGTGCTGTGTGTGTGTGTGCGCATCTTTGTGCATATGTCTTTGCGCATGCATGAGTGTGTGTGTTTGCATCTTGTGTGTGAGTGTGTATCTTTGTGTGTATGTCTGTGCGCATCTATGTGCGTGTGTGTGTCAATATTTGTGCATGTGTGCTGTGTGTACATAAGTTTGTGTGCTGTGTGAGTCTTTGTGTGGGTGTCTATGTGTGTTTTGGCCGCGTGTGACCGCATCTTTGTGCATGTGTGCTGTGTGTGTGTGTGTGTGAGCATGTGTTTGCATCTTTGTGTGTGTGTGTGTGCATCATTGCATGTGTGTGTGCGCATCATTGTATGCGTGTGTGTGTGTGTGTGTGTTTTTTTGTGTGTGAGTGTGTGCGCGCGCACCATTGTGTGTATGTGTGCATCATTTTATGTGTGTGTAAGTGTGTTTGCATCATTGTATGTGTGTGTTTGTGTGTGTGTTTGTATTTGTGTGTGAGTGTGTGTGCGCGTCATTGTATGTGTGTGTGTGCGCGTAATTGTGTGTTCGTTTTTTTGTGTGTTAGTGTGTGCGCGCACCATTGTGTGTGTGTGTGTGTGTGTGTGTGTTTGTGTGTGCATCATTGTATGTATGTGAGTGTATGCATCATTGTGTGTGTATGTGTGAGTGTGCATCGTGTGTGTTTGTGCATCATTGTATGTGTGTGTGTG